GAGTCTCATACTAGGACGAAACGGCTGTCCAGTGCTTCCAGGTTTTTCATGGTGGTCTACCTTTAATTGACTCATGATCTCAACCAGTGACATTTCTAAAAATCTCCACAAAACCCATTTTGAAAACTATAATTGTAATTCTTAACCCTTATCATCAATTGTAAATCATAATTCTAATTCTTCACAGCTTGAAAAAATTCCACCGAAACATAGTGTGATCGTCATTAATACAAAGATGGAAAAATACCCGTTGCATATCATTTTCAATTTCAAAGAATGATGTACATGAAGTTGAACTAAACTTATTATTCTCCAGCCGATCACTGTTCGCCAATAATCTGAAAGATAAATTATCGCATCTGACCAATTCAATGTGCATTTACCAATTTACCTGCTCTTGTGGAACTAGGTATATAGGTCGTTCGATGCGTACTTTATCCAAAAGAATTCAAGAACATTGTCCGGCGTGGCTAAGAAGAGGAGGCAGCGGCTCAATAAGAAGTTCTATAATCGAACACCTTGTGAACACAGGTCACTCAATCAGGACAGACTCTGCGTTCAAAGTCATCTACAAGGTAAGTGGAAGCCTTCCTAAGACAATTAGACTACATCTCCTTTGCATTGCCGAGGCAATAGCCATACATTTTGAAAAACCAGAATTATGTGTACAAAAGAGACTGGTACAACCTCTTCTTTTACCGTGGTCTTAAGGTATTAAAATTTTTTCTCTTTCTCATTACTCTTGTTCTTTTACAGCCACCTGCTTCACCTTCCATCTTCCCTTCAAATCTTGTACCCCCAACCGGTTTGTTTTTATTTCAACGATCATTCCGATTACATTTCATCTCTGTTTCAACATTTTATGTTATTTTATCATGCTGAGCTACTCCTACCCGATGAATATCTAAGCTATTAACTATCAAACTCTCCTTGTTTTTAAAAAAATTGTTTTCTAATACCTTTGTTTATTTAACCTCACCGTCACCATGTATATCATAAGTTTATTATCAGTATTATTATCACCCTGTAAAAATAAGTATATATATTTGCGATTGTACAGCTTTGAAAATGAATTCGCCGAAAAGAGAACTCTTCGCTGAACTAATCTTTCTTTCTTATTTAATGTCATAATGGGTGTTTTCCGTTTATTAAAAAATTCCAAGGACCCTTCGACTGTAAAGGAACTAAACTTTAACGATATCCTTGTGAAATCCCAAGTGTATCCATGAGATTAACCAATCAGGTATTCATGAATCAGAATATACATACTTTGTACAGAACTGTTATGAAATACAGCAAAATTGTGATGAATGTAAAGTTTTGAAAAGTTATTATCTCTTCGTTATCCAAAATATGGCACATTCAACTCTAAAAATATTTTAAACTTCAAACCCTTTTCTAATCAAAAACATGTAGTGTATCGTAGAACAACCTCGTCTCTATGTTGCACTTTTCCCGCATCACGTTTGCTAACCAAAACTTCAATAAACTACCTTTTTCTTATTATTCATAATCTCTCAGTGATCTACGATCATATCATCATCAAAATTAGGTAAAAAATGAAATCTAATCAAATCACGATATCCAATGTCAGTCTGTTCGTGATTCTGTTTTATAATTGTGTATCAATTGAACATCTACTGTCTTCATTATGATTAACTGTTTCCATCACTCTCAAGATCGACCACATAGTTCAGTTCGGGAGTACACACACAAAAAAAAACACATTTGAACTGGTAAAACAATAAGGTGTGTTTCTACACACTTTATTGATTATATTCCCAAAAACATTCCGTCTTTGACGAAAAAAAGATTTCGTAGTTTGATAGAATGCCATATTTAGAAGTCACGATACAATATGGGTGCATTGAATGCGTTCAAAATTATAAATAAAGAGATTAAATCTGCCTAAATAAGATTTGCAGCAGCCATAGTAATTTAAACGTTTGAGCCTGTGTGTTTTTTGTATTTAACATGTGTCAGTAGTTAGGCCTCAACTTCTTTTTTATTCAAAGCGACAGTTTCTTCTTGTTTCTTTCTTGAATTAATTTTACTCGTAATTTTATGAGCTTAATTCACTTTTCTTTTACTCCTTATACCTGTTATATGTTTCATCGCGTTACGCGATAAAAGTATATTAATAATACTCTAGAAGTATCACTACAAGTGCTCTTAAGCGTAGTTGGATTGGGGTAAACAGTGAGATCTAGGACGTGTGTTCCGTTCTGTTTGAGACGCATCATTGAAAGGTACATTGATGTTTACTCCGAGACTGAAACCTTGTGACTTTCGCTTTAAGTACTTAAGCAATATTCACTGACTTATTGAGTACAGACGGTCAGTGACTTGTGCAACATGGATGAATTTTAATTCGATTATGAGTGACTAAACTTTCTATTGTCAGTATTTACTGTTGTTATTGATGTATCGTTTTCAGCATATATTCATCTTAAATAGATTGTCACTAATAGCAACATCGAAGCAATTTGCTCAGGTTGTAAATATACAAAATGAACTGATTAATCTCTATCACTAGCATTAACAACGGAAAAATTTTAAACCTTTTTACGTGAATTGTATTGTAATGAACAAACCAGCTTCCAGCTGAATAGAAAATTAGGAAAAGATGATAGAAATGAATAGGACATACATTACACAAATCATCAAACTGCATCACGAGGCAAGTCCTAACTTGGAATCTTGAAGGGAAGCGGAAAAGAGGAAGGCCAAAGAACACATAACGTCGAGAAATAGAAGAATATATGAAAAGGAAGAATAACAACTGGAAATAGCTGGAAAGGATTGCCCAGGACAGGGTTGGATGCAGAATGCTAGTGGGTGGTACCTATGCTCCTTCACGAAGAGTAACAGGCGTAAGTAAGCAAGTGTATGTGTAACTGTAGGGTGGATTTAAGTGAATATTCGTCTTCTTTTTTTGTCTAATTTTCTGATGGGGGTGGAAGAGCGGGGTGGCTAATTTAATTACATTGACAACTTTTAGTTGTTGTTTTTTCTGAAAAGGAAATCACCCTCTTCCATTTACCTATAAATGACTAATTTATTTAATTGGACAATAAAAAGAAATGGAAGAAACGAGCTATGTTTCAGTCTATATCTATATTCAATGGTGTTTATCATTTAAATTTATAAGATATTGGAGAATTTAGATTATATTATTTGATAGTTACCATGCATAATGCTAATATAAGCTTAGAAATTATTAGTTATATGCTTGTTCCCATGTGTCACATCCCCCTTCATACAGATGATATAAACATATTCAATTGATAGAATACTCGATGAGACCATAATTTATGAACGACCTTTGAGCGATGCTTAAGTTGTAGTGAACAGAACACGGGTAAGGACAACCGAATATATTTGACACAAGATTATAGGACTTGTTAATAAAATCTAACAATCAAACTGTAAATGCGTAATTTGCAAAATGTCCATCAATTGTCTCATAATGACTCAGACTTCATTGTTCTTACATTTCCATACAAATTGCATTCTGTTTCCATTCTTTACTGTTCAATCCTCTTGTCTCTTTGCTGCCAGACATTCTGTTCACGACTAACATCATCTACTACTTATGTCAATATAAGTAGCACACACCACAAAATGACTTTCAGAGTGGAAACCTACTGATTAGAACTAAATGATGGTTATAAATTAGTTAGAATTCTGATTTACAGTTGATGGTTAAGATTAAGAATTAGATGGATGAATTACGCGCCAAAACTTATGACTCGTTATCTTATATCTGATTGGTTCGTCCATAAATTACAGTTTCGCCGAATACTCTGTTTTTACACAATGAATTCTTAATGGCTTCTAATGTTAATATTATGAATTGAGCGAGATAAATGTTATTTAGATGATTCTATAAGAATTTCGTTATGAGCTGAACTGTTCAATTGTAAAGTTTTCACTGAACTACATCAGCACAAACTTCAGATAGAAGTGAGATATTTGAATTTCTACACATATGACTGACAGTTTATCTTGTCGATTTTTTGTTTGATTAGTTGTTATTGGCCTTTAATCTGTTGGTACTGGAATGCGTATTATTGAAGAGTCTCATAGTAGGATGAAACAGTCGTACAGTACTTCCTGGTTTTTACTAGAGGTCTAACTTAGATCGGTTCATAATTTAAATAAAATTCAACAATAATCACAACTTCATATTGTTTATTTATTTATTCCATCTCCACCTTTGAACTGTTTCTTGATCCCAAACTTGCTCATGATTTTTCTAATTACTTGATAAATCGGATCGACTTCGATATGTTTATTGATTACTGATTGAGCTACTAAAAACTCTCTCGTGTTCTTAGTACTTTCTTTATTCAAAATTTCAAGATTTTCTTAGCTGAACGTGTCTCCATAGTTATTATTAATATGCATTGACAACCTACTGTGGGAGAGAACAAACCAGATTCCAGTAGAAGAAGAAATCAGGAAGAAGCGATGGAAGTGAATAGAACACACACTCAAGAAAGCATCCAGCTGTGTCATAAATCAAGCCCTTACTTGGAATGCTCAAGACCAAATGAGAAGAGGAAGATGTAAGAACACATTACACCGAGAAATGGAACTAGAAAGGAAGATGTAGGACAGAGTGAGTTGTAGAATGCTGTTCGGCGGCTTATGCTCCACTGGGAGTAACAGATGTGATTAAGTTAATAAGTAAGTAAGGAATGCCATAACTAGCCATTGCCTTGTCCGGCTGCGCCTTATTTGATTTGACTATAAATTTGCCTCTTAATTTGCTCGTATATACACACACATTCCCCTCTTTGCTTCAAATTCGCCCGATGTGCTTATCACTTTGTTGTTCGTACTATTAGCTAATAAAGTTTAATTACCGCTTCTTATTGCCCTTTGATTTCAAATACCGTTGGGATTTATATATGGTAACGGTTACAAAGGTAATAGGTTAGCATAACAAAGCCACTACATTGTGATCCAGTTTAGACAAATGAATAAAAGCTCATTTCATCAGTAATATAACAATGACATATAATAACAATGGAGTAATAATAATAATAATGATAATCTTTTCTCTGTTACATATTTGATGTTGTTTCTGTTAGAGTCATCTGTTGATTTTCATCTTCATAATTTTTGTAAAAATTATTTACAATAGAATGATTAGTAAATGTATAATGAATATTTGATAAATGTTGATCATCTTCAATGATATTCATCCAATTGTAAATAGGTTCATTTCCATGAATCATATTGTATCTAACCTCTGTGAACAACAACAAGGAAACAACAAGAGAGTGAAAACTTACAATGTTTTTAATTAACTTGTGAATGAAGTATCGATGGATAATGGTTAGAAATGAAATCTGGGATATGTGTTTCATCCTACTTTGGCACTCATCAATTGGATGTACCTGCATCTCAGATTTGTTGATATTCACTCTGAGTATCGAAACTAGTACAGATTTGCTTCAAAATTCATCTTGTTATTCACTTAACTATTGAGTCCTGATAGTCACCTGCTCATACAAGCAAGACGAAACACGCATCCTGAATTCCACTAATAGCCATTATCCATCTTTTTTCATAATGCTTGTGAATTAAGGTAATATCGAGGCGATCCGTTCACCATGTATATATGCCAATGAAGAGATTAATCAATCGCAGTCCTAAACAACAATGAGAAGATATAAGCAATCAATACCAAGTGAACTTATCTTGTCGTTTGTCTAAATGTAGTCATCATGTCATACGTTTCTGTAGAAAAGATGGGGTGTGACTAGCAGCAGAACCTTTGACACATCTTTTTTCCCATTTTAAATTTGTCTGTCGCTTGATGTACCTGACTTTCAGAGTTGATGTCCTTTCTCCAACTCAAACGTAGTACCTTATACTTCGGACACTCAACTTTGTTATCCATATGGATAGTGAGTCTAGATAGTTACTAACTTGTTCAACCATTAAAAGACAGATTTAAATTCATGAGTCTTGTACAAGTGGTAGCTATCAAGACTCAGTTGCTAAGTGTATATATTATTCTTAATATTCACTTTATAATGGTTATGGTACTTTGATAAGAAAGAATTTGACCGTGATAATGTAAATGCTATTTTGTTCAACCAATTTAATCTACCGAATGAATAATTAGTGTATTTATCTAAGAAAGTCAACTACTCCCTAAATATCCACCACCATTCCATCTCCAAACACCAAGCATTCATTCACGACACATAATGAGTCCCGACAGTGGTAAAGCTGCTTCATGTCACCATCAAGTTCAGTTGACGGCCAGCGATTGGTGGCGTAGTTCATTGTTCTTTAAATGAAAGGTCATTCCTGGCGGCAGTTTGTATCTTAGATGCTAAGACTGGCAACGTGCGAACAGCAGTTGCCAGGTAACGATGCGCGTGGTCTTCTGTCATAAGAGAGGCAATAACTGCATCTTCATCGGTCTTAGGGTGTTTGCTGATAAGTCGTGACAGGTTGTCTACCTGACCAAACTGTTGGGTGCGCCGATACTGAATGTCAAGATCATAACCTAAAAGTATCAAAGCCCATTGCTGGAGACGGTTTGCAGAGTGGGCTGGAACACCAAATTTCGAACGAAAAATTGTAAGAAGAGGCTTGTGGTCAGTAAGAGGAGTAAATCTTCGACCGTGCAAGGGTGAGAGCCTCCTTCTCTATATCAATGCACTTCCTTTCTGCATGACAGCATCCTCCATTGTAGCGTCTTCAGCTACAATGATTGTCATGGATGGTTCCTACTTCTTCAATAATAATTCACAGATTATGATTGTTTTCAGCTTGCGAAAGGCAGATTCACACCCTTTAATCCAGTTCCAACTGGTATTCTTATTCAGAAGAAAATTTAGTGGGGCGTGTATGTCGTTCATCGACGGAACGAAAGCCGAATAGTAACTGACTAATCCTCGAAATGATCGGAAATCAGAAACATTGGCAGAAGTGGGCATCAGTTTTATGGCTCGGATTTTTTCAGGGTCTGGTGTGGAATCTGCAACATCAAGGATGAATAACTCACTCTGTCCTCCGCCTTCCTTTCCAGTTCCATCCTATTCTTGTTCATTCACCTCATGTTCATCTCTATTTCTCGGCGTAATGTGTTCTTTGATATTCCTCTTGTCCTTTGGCCTTAAAGATTTCAAGTGGGGGTTGGTTTGTGAACCAACTGGATGCTTTCCTCAATGTGTGTTTATCAAATTCCGTCGCTTCTTCCTGATTTCTTCCTCCACTGGAATCTGATTTGTTCTCTCCCACAGTTGGTTTTCGCTGATAATGTATGGTCAACCGATCGAAAGTATTTTGTGCAGAAAACTGTTAGTAAACACTTGTATGTTATCGATGATGGCTTTCGTAGTTCACCAAGCTTCCGCCCCATACAGTAGAACTGTCTTGACATTTGTATTCAAAATTGTGAATTTGATGTTGGTTGACAGACAGACAGTTGTTTTGAGTTCCAGATGTTCTTCGTTTATAGATGCACAGCTCTCGGTTTGCTGATCCACGCCTTCACATCAATATCTGATCCACCGTGTTCATCAGTGATGCTCCCTAGATATGTAAGGGTTTTACATCTTCCAAATCTTCTCCGTCAAGTTTGGTTCAATTGTTGTATGCAGCATTGTATCGGAGAATTTTGCTATTCCCTTTGTGTATGTTGAAACCTACTGCTGCTGAGGCTTCTGTTACCCTAGTCGTCTTCTCCTACATTTGTTGTTGCATATGTGTCATAGAATAGCCAGATCATTTACAAAGTGTAGAACGTCTAGCTACATTCTAGCTGCCGCCCGTGTCTCCCCACCCCACCCAAATCCTAATATCTTCATTATCTAATCGACCAGAAAAAAACGGATCAATAATAACTCAATGATCAAGTTAATTCAATACAAATCAATAATCTATCAATAATTATTTCTAGTCTAATACAATTATAATACAAATATACAAAAAAGCTTACGTGAACTTGTTAAATTTCCCATATTTTCATGATGTAATCCATTTGTATAATATATATTTGTTGTTATAGGAAGATCATTATTGAATTGAATTATATCAGTTGAATGATAATGATGATTCATTTCATTATGACTATATATACTATTTCTATTCATATTTATACTACTACTACTATGATTACTATGGTTACTATTATTATTACTACTACTATTAATTGATTTAAGTAGTATCTCGTCATTATGATTGGATGTTAAACATAATAATTGATTTTGTTCATCAATAATGATATTTACATTTGATTTATATTGATTAATTGATTTTGATTTACATTTATTACGATAAATAATAATCATAATTATTATTATAATGAATATAATTACTATAGTAATAAGTATAATAGGTAATAATAAATGTTTATTTATTTTCATCAATTGATTGTTTCCAATGGGAAAGTTGATATTTTGTTCCGGTAAATTATATACATTATTATTATTATTATGAGGGTCAATAAATATGGATGGATTCAGAGGAGAATGTACAGATGAACTTGATGATAATGATAATGATGATGATGATGATGATGATGTTGTTGAATAAGGAGAAGACCTAGATATAGGATTATATGATATAGAATCAGGTAAATCATTAATTGGTCTTTGATGAAGTTCTGTTGGTAAAATATTAAGAAATATGATACATGTTGTATTAAATAATTCAGGTTGATTATAATCTTGTATATCTATGTATAAAATGTATCTAAAAAAAAGAAAAAGAAAAAGAGAATCTTTATGATCATTTGAGAAACAATAACCGATTTATGATCTTAATAAAAAAACTTCAGAATATCTACAATCCAATACTTACTAGCGATCAGCTTTGTAAGAGAATCCTTGGAGTTCTAGTAAAAAGCCGTAGACAGTGGAGTTAATCCTTGTCGGATAGAGAAAGGTATTTAAGTCATTAACACCACTGGATGCCGGCCCAGTGGTCTACAGTTCAAGCGTCCGTGCGCGAAACTGAAGGTCATGGGTTTGAACCCCACGTGCAGAATCGTGGACGAGCGTCGTTAAGGCGTTCCACACAACGACGAAACAGCCGAACTGTGCTTCCAGGTATTCAATGATGGTTTAACACCAATCGATTAATGATCTCAATCACAAAACAAGAAAGGAAACTAGTCAAATAGACTAACGCATCTTAGTGCTTTTTCAAAAAATAAAATGTATTTTCATTCAAAGAATTCATTCATATATTAATAATTTTTTACAGTCCAAGCAATGCACTAATTCGGAAGACTCTCCTGGTCTCCCACATTGTACGAGCATTTAATGTACCTCAACTTATGGTTGCTCTGGTTGTCAGAAGGAGCATCAGCCTCGTGACTTCCGAAGGAACTCGGATCTCACCATGAGGCGTCATATCTCTTCTAACTCCCAGAGTTCAAATGGTTTGACTTCTTTATTTTTTGGTTACCGCTTTTTTAGCGAGTTAGTTTTCTATGGGATGGAGTCGCTAACCACATGCCCTACCTTCCCCCTTTATCCGTGCTTGAGACTGAAAGTAGCCACAGGGGGCTCCAGACGGAGTTTTGAACAGGCCAAAGTAAGTAAGTAGTAAACTCGATGCTTTTAATTCAAATATGTTTTTCAGTATTTATGCCTAGTAACTGTAATAAAATTTCAATTCTAAATTTAAACTTATATTGAACAATATGTCACTGGTCTCTGTGTAATCACATTACGTGGACGCACAGTGCTGAGGAGTCCCATACTAGGACGAAACAACCATCCATTGCTTCCAGGTTTTTCATGGTGGTCTAACATCAATGTTCTCATAATTTCAACTAGTAAAATTTCTAAAAATCTCCATAAAACCCCTTCTGATAATGATCATCTGCTTACTAGTGACTGACTTCAAGAGGTATTCCCTGGAGTTGTGAGATATGAAGTCACTGAAGACAATGGTGTACGGTGGCGCAATTTCGTGGAATGTTCGAAGTTAGGCATTAACACCGTCGGATACCGGCTCAGTGGTCTAAAGGTTAAGCGCTCGCGCGCAAGACTGACAGACCCTGGGTTCGAATCTCGCGGGGGGCATGACCGTGAACGAAACGGCCGTTTAGTGCTTGAAGGTTTTTCATGGTGGTCTAGCTTCAATTGAATAACATGAATTCCTATCAGTTTATACTTCTTTTTTTCTAAAATCTCTGTCAAATTAGTTGTCGTTCCAAAACAAAAACAGGAACTTAGTATTTTGAATGTAATTACCTATTACAAAACACTTTATTCAAAGACGGAAATATCTATTCTTATCACTGTAATATCAAACAACAATCAAGTATTTATTCAGATGCCCATTTCACTGTTCATAATATTGATAAACGACTATCAGATATCAATGAAATACTCATGTCTAAATGTTATGAATCTAATTAATAACTTGTATTTCAATCAATGAATGAAGAAATCATAATTTTGAATTTATTTATCAGATTTACATTTACAATAACATAATCAATAACGAATATCATGTTTATTCAATCCTTTATTATGTTGATTAGATTCAAAGAATAATAATTACAGTTGGAAAACTAGTCTGAGTGCTTGAAGACACTAACTACTAGTCTGAGCCATGTTGGGAGATGTAGACTACTTAGTTGGGGTCCGTGTGACTATCGTAACCAATAGTTGGAGACTCTTGGTGACATGGCTCAGAATCTGTCACAATGGCGTCGGTGTATACACTCTCTGTCTTTCCTTAAACTAAGAGATTAAAATCGCTTCATATCTTTCTTTCTACCAACTAATTCTTTCTTCTTGTACTATATCCTTATTGCAATCTTTCTTTTATATATTACCACCTCTGAATTAACCACTTATATGGATCCGGTGTCCATCTTGTGTTAATGAGGTATGGCAACTTGGATCGATGCATATATGTGTCTGGTCCTACGTTGTAGCTGACTGACTGACTGGTACTATATTGGAATATTAGCTGATTGGTTATCAATAGCTAGAAATTTAGAACCTAAGTGGGTTTGACTATGGACGAACCAATCAGATTTACGATAAAAGATCTTGAGATTTTGGGTGCGAAATTCATTCATATATTTGGCTAGATAGTGTCTTGACATTTTAACTGATATCATTTTGTGATAAAACCTTAAATTTAATCCATATTCTTAACTAACAACTGTAAATCATAATTCTTATCCTTCACACAGGTTTAAAACCCTCATTTAGCCTGTTGTCAGTAGATGGACATTCTCGAGGTCACTTTAGAGTCCATCAAGGATCGTCTATAAATTATAGTCTCACCCCTAGGTGTAACGGGGAAAAAACGCTGAAAATCCCTTCCTACCATTTTGTTGAACTGTATCGTCATTTATTTCTTCCTTCTCCCTGTCTTTTATTTGAACTATTATTCACGTATCTTCAGTCATCTTCGTTTGAGCTTTTGTTATATGACCTTGATTGAATACTTACCTTTTGTTATTGTATTTTACTGTTGCACGTCGCCTAACTTTTGACAATAAGTTCGAGTTTGAATAAACTTAAGGTCACAGTGTGGTTCAGTGTACGACCGGTAACCTCTGATGATCTGCTTGGAAAGGTCGCCGGAATCTTTGTATATAGACACTTGATCCCATCTTGTTGGGAATATTTTTATTGATCCTTAAGTATCGAACTATTGCTTATTCGCTATTCCTTTCGTTGTTTAGCACGATAATTTGGGTTAGCAAAACTCTTGACTGTATAGCACAAGCTGAACTTTTTGACGTGTTTTGTACTTTTGATATAATTTAATCTCTTTATCAAATTAGAACCATTTAAATTGAACACATGGTTTGTGTTTTGATATAATTTAATACAAAAATGCTTCGTACGCTATACAAACGAACGTATCTGGTCAGATCGTTAGTTCTGCGTTCAAACTAAATATTGACGTTTCGGTCGTTGCACTAGGTTTTATATTATTTTCACAATGAAGATTTGTGGAGATTGTATTGAACTTAACAGCTGAATTTATGAATCGATGTAAGTTAGACCATCAGTGAAAATCTGGAAGTATAGAACGGCCGTTATTCGTCAATTGGATGTGTCTACAATCCTGAGAGCATTGTTGCAACTTGGTCAATAGAAATCGATCAACAACCATTATAATTTAACAAGAACTTATTGTTAAATTAAAATATCATATTTGTTGCCTAAAAATTGTAATTTACAATTGATTGATTACTGTGTGGTGATCAATGTTATGTGTGTGTCGGATCCTTCTCAGTACAGATCGAATCTTATCGACCAAGTTGCAATGTGGCTACTAGTCTAGGTGACTCGAAATTGCGTGCTACATGTTGACAGGTAGACAATAGGAAACCCTGGACACAGATTAAGGTGCATCTGTATTCTTTTTGGGAACTAATGTTCCATGATGGATCCGAGCCGTGATTGACCTCTTGTAGTATTCGGACAGTCCAATGATACTGTCTCTAACTGTGAAGCTGAGTAACAAGGAGTGGGATCTGTCAGGGAGCATCAATTTCCTTAAGATTACAAATACACTTTGCTGACAAGTGCCAGGTAGCACGATACCTAGGTTCAGAATTTCCTGTTGTCTACCACTAACAGTACGAATGAAGTATTAAATTAACACATCATTTATTCATCATGATTCGAGTGATTTAAGCATGGCCTCTCTATAGTTAAATAGTATTGTAGTGAAGGAGAACACAAGTGAGGACAACCGAACTATATTTAGCACACCATTACAGAGTTACTTGGTAAAATAGAAAAACCATACTATAATACCTAATTTGCAAATGTTCAATAATTGTCTCAGACTTCATTGATCTTGCATTTCTATACTAATTGCTTTCTATTCCTGTTCTTCCTTTCTTGATCTTCCCAATCTTCTACTGCCAGACATTACATTCCTGACTCGCATTATATACTACTTATATCAATATAAGTAGCACTACAATATTACTAATATTCATATAAAAAATCTTATTCACAACTCAATAAACTCATATTTATACGGTTACAGATATACAATATACCAATGATAACTTACTCTCCTACATCCATCAACACTAATTGTCTACTAACACTTAATATACCAGTATATGGATTTAGTGAAATAAATGGTTTACCATTCCACAGTTTTAAATTATCTTTCATTTCTTTTTCAATATCATTATTATTACTATTATTATTATTATTATTATCCATCCAATATAATTTGGGTAGTAACCAAATATGACGTAATATATAAATTAATTTGTTTCTATGTGGTATCATATGATCATTTTGTTGATTTAATTTCATAATTTTATAATCTTTGATCATTTTATAAGATATAGATATATTGGTTATACAATAGGGGGATTTTAAACCAATTTGATTTAATATTGTATCATATGGTTGATTGATTGATTGAATTAAATTAAATGATTTATCGATCCATTGATGATTTGGATATTGATTTTTAATATTATATAGAATAATTTTAATAGATTTGAAAGAATATTTTGATGATATTAAAGTTGGTGTGATTATCAGAAGATATTGATTTTTAATGAATGTTGAATAAAATGATTAATATTGATTTGATAACCATGACATATTGAATTTGATCGATTAGGATTACATAAAAATTGGATCGGTTTTAAAATAAAATCTTTTGGATCTTGTTCATTCATTGTTATCAAAGAATCATATACTTTTAATGTTAATTCACAATAATGATTGAAATGATCATTATGACTATGTGATGAAGAATATTGAATACAATAAACGATAATCTTTGATAATATTGAATCATTTGAATAAATGGAATCTGTTATATAGAATTGATATGTATCATTAGTATATGTCTTGATGTATGAATTCGATTGATTCATTTGTAAATAGATTATTATTTGATCATGATCATCATGAACAGGATCATGATCAGGATCTTTTACTAGATCATTCGATAATAACATTTCCATAGAATAATCATTATTGAAATTCAATGTCAAATTAATCAATATTTGTATTTTATAATTAAGATCTTTGGAATAATCATATAATGTACCAATTTTTGATGCTTGTATCAATAATTGTTTTGTAATTAATTTTCTAGATGGATTCAATTCTTTCATTAAACTGACTATACCGGATGTTGAATTAATAGTAAAATAATTTTCTAGAAAATCAATTTTAAGAGAAAAACAATATTCAATTATTAGTATTAGAAGGGGTTTTGTGGAGATTGTAGTAATTTCACAATAGTTGAGATCATGAGTCATTTGAAGCAAGACCACCATGGGAAACCTGAAAGCATTGGACGACCGTTTCATCCTATTGTGGGACTCCTCAGTAGTGGTCATTCACGACCCCGCCTCGCGAGATTCGAATCCAAGACACTGATGACAATGGTGGATGTGTTGTCCAATTTCGTGAATTAGTTGAAGTTATAAATTAACATCGTTGAATGGCAGTCGGATCAGTGGTCCAGTTGGTTAAGCGCCTGGCACGAGACTGATAGGTCCTAGGTTTGAATCTCGCAAGGCAGGGTTGTGAATGCGCACTGCTAAGGAGTCCCACAATAGGACGAAACGTCTGTCTGGTGATTCCAGGTTTCCCATAGTTGTCTAGGTTCAATTGACTTATGATCTCAACTGTTGATATTTAATTATTAATTTAATTAAAAGTTTTAAACGACCATTTCATCCTAATATTGATTTCTTTAGCAATATACATCGAAGATCCTGTTCACGGGGTTCAAACCCAAGGCTTTTGATCTAAATCATGAATGCTTAACTTGTAGATAACTGAGCCAGTATTCGATGATCTTAGGTTTGAAGCCTGTGAACAGGACCTTCAATGTAAATTGATGAAAAGTTCCATATTATGATGAAATAGCTGTTCAGTTCTTTTAAGTTTTTCATGATGGTCTAGATTTTATTGACTCATGAATCCAATTATTAAATTACTACAATCTCTACAAAACCCATTTCTGACGAATCTAATGTGTTAAATGCTATAAATTATATCAGTGAACATTCGTCTATTCATATTCACATTTAGTCATACTTTATAAGTATCGGGTTATAGTGATGTTTGAATTTCATTTAAAACCTGAACCGGTATAATTTAGACAATCATTCAAAACCTGGAAGTACTAGATAGCCTCTTCTTTCTATTATGGCATCCACTAATGAGAATTGCATTTCCGCATGACGCAGTCAGGGATCGAACCCAGGCTCTCCAGTTTTACATACTTATATCTAGCCTTATAAGTTGAGTAATTGTAAGTTGTACCTCTGTGATATGACAAATTGATTGATGTAGTACATTTTAACTGTGTAATATATACTAAGTGATTAAAGCGTATCACTGATTACTTTAGGCTTAAAACGTCATTGTTTAATGTTGTATGAAATTATGATTATGTAATGATAAACCGCTAGGTTTTCTATTTCTTTAATCTCTATGAAATGAATAGTATACATTGCACAATGATCCATAGTGAATAATATGTTAATTAATCCTTCTAAATTTCAAACTCTTCATTTGAGCTTAACACATGATAATAAGTTTTGACAGATGCCAAAACCCTTACAACTACACTGATACTATCGATTCTATGAAAATTAATCTAATGGGATTTTGAATTTTGTACAATTTTCCTTAGTTATTCAAATCATCAAGTGATCTGAGCTAAATCTCTATCAAAAAAGAACGAAACAGATATCCAATGTATATTAGTTTTCAATGATAATCTATAGTGATATTTATCTCACGGTCCTTATTTCATCTGATGTCTGTAAAGTTTCATGTGTTTGATTTCACTTGCCATAGAAACAAATCTTTGTTTATTGCATTATCATAGGATTTGTACATTCTTGTATATGACCAATCCTCACCATTCATTGCCAGATCTTTAAGATACAATGTTGATGAAAAATATTTAAGTAAACTTTAGTCAATACAGGACAGTAATTATATTCAAAACATGTCACTTATTGATTATCTGACAATGAAAGTCAACTGATGCTCAGCGAGGCTATAATTTATGAACGAGTCAATCAGAAGTGTTTCAGTGATCTCAAGGTCACAGTGCCAATTTCAGTATTTGATACTCACGTACGATCAGTTCATAGCGGATTTTAGAGAAAAGGTGATCATTGAACGGCTACAACAAATAAGTCTACTAAGAAGTTCCTTTATTTGTAATTGTAGTAATCAAATAGCTTGGAAGAAGTTTGTTAAAATAGGGACTTTTTGTCCAGATCGAGATTGAGACTAAATGAAAGTATAATCATTGTTGTGAACTTTATAATAAAAGCAACATTCGCAGACGTTACTCAAACTTCGGCAGTTAATTGGTATAAGTATTGCAGAGACAATATGCGCACTAAAAATAACAATCTTACATGATGATCACTCTGAGACTTGAATCTAGTACCTTTCATTTCAAACACCATCCGTTATAATGCATGTGACTTACGGCAATATCGAGGTAATCCGCACAGGATGCCGATCAATGGCAGTGCTAAACAACAATGGAAATATTTAAGCAAACAATATCTGGTCTTAATAATTTTCCTTCTTAACTCCTATGTAGATTGAGAAGAAATTTTTTTATATTTCTTATATACTGATCTAAATAAATATTCCGTTTTCAGGCTGGATTCTCGAATTCAATGATTATGTTTCTACAATTGGTCAGTTGAAATCCTAAACATCAACTAATAAAAAATGAAATTTCACTTTACTGCATAAACTGGTGGTTACCTAGACTCAATACCTTTGTAATAATGAGATGGAATTTGAAGCGAACGGTACGGGTTTCAAATCCTGAAGTGGGCATCAACTCTGATGTGTAGGTACATCCAACCGATGAGTCTCAAATAGGACGAAACGCATGTCCTGGATTCCACTATTAGTCATCATCATCTCATGTCTGATACTAAATTTATTTAGTATGGAAAAAAGTATATATATGTCATCACCAAGACGTCAACATCCGAGGGGAAGTATGGTATACAGTGGACAGCTAGAATGCAGCTGGACGACCTAGATTTCGCAGATGATCTGGCGCTTCTATCGCACACGCAACAACAAACTCAGAAGAAGACAACCAGCCTCAATTGCAGTAGGTCTCAATAAACACAAACGGAAAAGCAGAATTCTCCGATACAACACAGCATGAAACAATTGAATCACCTTTACATATATGGGCAGCATCATTGATGGACATGGTGGATCTGATGCAAATGTTAGGGCGCTGATTGGCAAAGCAAGAGTGGCATATCTACAATTGAAGAATATCTGCAACTCAAAACAACTGTCTGTCTGACAACAAACACTAAATTCACAATTTTCAATACAAATATCAAGACAGTTCTACTGTTTGGAGTGGAAATTTGGTGAACTACGAAAGTCATCATCCAGAACATACAAGTGTTTACTAACAGTTCTCTATGCAAAACACTTTGGATCTGTTGACCAGACATTATCAGCAACAACCTACTGTAGGAGAAAACAAATCAGATTCCAGTGGAGGAAGAACATAGGAAGAAGAGATGGAAGTGGATAGGACATATATTGAGGAAAGTACACAACTGTTTCACAAGGCACGCTGTCACCTGGAACCCTCAAGGTCAAAGGAGAAACGAAAGACCAAAAAAACACATTACGCCGAGCAATAGATACAGATATTAGAAGAATGAACAAGAATCAAATAGACCCGGAAAGGAAGGCATAAGGCAGAGTGAATTGGAGAATGCTGGTTAGCGGCCTATGCTCCATTGGGAATAACAGACGTAAGTAAGTAGTAAATAATAGATGTACACAGTAAACTACAACTCACCATTAGGTATCTCTTTAATTAATTCATATATAATTTGATAATTATCATTTGTTTCATAATTTGTTTTTACTATAATACTAAATAATTGTTGATGAATTTGAATACCTTTCATTAAAATTAAACAAATACTTGATTTAGCTTCCATATATACAGGATTCAATATAATTGGATAAATTAGTTTCGATAGTGATAAATGATCATAGTAACTAAATATTGATTTTTTATTAGAATTTTTTTGTATATCATTAAAATAATTACAATTTATATCATGGATAATGAATTGATTTATTATTTGTATATGAGAAATATTCAATAATGAATGTAGATCATTAAATGTATGAATAATTTCAAAATGTATAGTTTGTATTGTTGTTAATGATGGTAAACCATAATCGGAACATTCAATAAGTAAATATAAATCAGTGATTTTATCAGGATCAAATATCTATGATGTAAATTAAAAACAAAAAAAAAGAGAGATTTATTGTTTTGTTAAAGGAATAACAATGAAAGCACCTGGACAACCGTTTTGTCCTAGTATGGGATTCAAACAGAAGATCTGTCAGTTACGTGTATGAATGCCTAATCAGTAGTGTACGAGACTGATTGATCCTGGTTTTGAGTCCAGTTGGTGAGGGTGTTGAGGCTGATTTCCTTATATCTCATTCCAACGAATACTATCCCGTTAACTGACTATTTAACGCAGGTTAAATCTCCTAGTAGAATTAAGAATTTATTTGAGATTATTCAAGAGCCTGAACACCAGTAATAGAGATAGTTTATTAATAAAGATTAGTAAAATCCACAAGCGTACAGGAAGCAAACACACAGGGAAACCAAGTGAAAGTGTGTGTGTGTGAGTGTTAATGGATTGTGGATAAATTATTGATTGTGTGTGTTACAACCAATGGGAGAATAGATTAAAGATTGAGTGACTGATTGATTCAACAACTGATATACAACACACTGTAACTAACGATGAATGACAGTAATTAGGAGATGGAGAAAAACTTGATAAGAAATAAGAAAATGGCAATCAATTAACTAAGTGTACCATAACAGTCGATGATTACCCTAGAACACATAAATATAAACACACACTATCAAATAACATCAAAGATCATCATGGAATTATGTTATTTCTTAACAAAATTTGGATAGTATCAGAAGGGGTTTTGTGGAGATTGTAGTAATTTCAATAGTTGAGATCATGAGTCAATTAAAGCTAGACCACCATGGAGAACCTGGAAGCGCTAGATGCCGGCTAAGTGATCTAGTTGGTTAAGCACCTGACTCGAGACTGATAGGTCCTGGGTTCGGATCCCGTGAGGCAGGTTCGCAGATGCGCACTGCTGAAGAGTCCCACAATAGGACGAAACGGCCGTCCAGTGCTTCCAGGTTTTCCATGGTGGTCTAGCTTCAATTGACTCATGATCTCAACTATTGAAAAGTTGGATAAGCTGAAATCTTTATAGAGATGACTGAAACTTGGTTTTTTTTTCCGTCTTTTTGATTGAGGTCATGAATCGATTGATATTAGAACACTATTGAAAATCTGGAATCACTGGATGGTCATTGAGCTCTATAATGGAACTCTTCAGTAGTGTTCATCTATAAAGTAAATGGCATTAACACTAAAATACCACTGATATTATTCTGTAACCATTTAATTTCTCCAATCTCTATTTATTATTAATACAGATTAATGAGAAATAAATGCTTAGGTATAAAGTTTCTAAGTATTTTCGACTTCATATATGATCTCAGATTGCTAAAATCAGGCATTTAATGTAAGGAAATCAATCGATTTATGAAACGATTAGAAAAGTTGATATACTCTAACAAATCACAAGTTACCAATAATTGTAGTATATGAATTGCACAAGCAGGTGGTTATCAGGACTCGGTATCTAAGTCTATAACGTGATGGGATTTGAAGCAAATGGTATTGGGTTCGAGCCTCGGAGGGAATACCAACTTCGAGGTGCATGTGCATTCAACTGACGAGTCCCGTATAGGATGAAACGTACGTCCTGTATTCCACTGCTATCCACCATCCACCTTTGCTTATAATGTAATATACAGTATTTACTATGAAAATAGTTGAATCAAATCTCAGTAACCGCGTTAAATAACATTAAAATCAAGAATGATTTAATCTTACAGATATATACCATGTTAGTTAGACATTAAGTAAGAGTACGTGTTTATTCTGTTTCATCGAACCACTGATAAGTGTCGTTTATCCGTATGTACCGTTCTGACTAACTCATCTTCTTCAAATCTCCACACATGCACTCATGTTGTAAAATATAAACAAACAGCTTAAAAAACACTTAGAAACTAACAAACAATCAATAGATTATAATTTTTCAAAGTTAGGCATTTACTATCGGTGAAATCAAAGATATGTATTCTATCCTAAATGGCACTAATCCACCAGATATATCTGCAACCAGTTTTGATATTTATACATAAACGTAAACATGACATCTATCTTGACAAATACTCAACACACATAACGACTGATTTACCAAATCAAAGTCATCAGTGCTTTATGTAACAGATATATACTTAGAATAAATAGTGATGTCAAAGTAATCCACTCACACAGTAACCGTATATTTAAATAGAAATGGATCAATGACAGTCATTAACCATGGATAGGTAACCCAAATATTCAAGCTGGCCGACTTGTTACATAATAACAATATCAAAACAGGAAATATAGTTGGTTTACAGTGATGTAGTTTTTTTGTTAAACATAGTTATTAGTTTGTATAAAAGGAACACTAATTATATGAATTAGGCCTCATCATACACAAGGGAAAACCAAGGTCCTCAAATACAACATGGAGAACAGCAATCCAATCACTCTTGATGGTGAAACTCTGGAAGATGTAGAATCCTTCACAAATCCGGTAAGCATCATCGATGAACAAGGAGGTTCAGATGTAGACGTAAAGGCGAGGATTGGCAAAGCAAGGGTTGCATTCCTACAATTGAAGAACATATGGAACTCAAAACGGCTTTCAACCAATATCAAGCTTACAATCTTCAATACGAACGTTAAAACAGTTCTACTGTATTCAGCTGAATCTTCCAGAACTACTACAACCATCACCAAGAAGGTACAAGTATTTATAAATAGCTGTCTACGCAAGATACTCAACATCCATTCGCCGGATATCATCAGTAACAGCCTACTGTGGGAGAGAACAGACCAGTTTCCAGCTGATAAGGAAATTAGGAAAAGACGATAGAAATGGTTAGGACATACATTAAGGAAATCATCAAACTGCATCACGAGGCAAGCCCTAACTTGGAATCCTAAAGGGAAGCGAAAAACAGGAAGGTCAAAGAACATATTACGTCGGGAAATAGAATCAGATATGAAAAGGATGAATAGGAACTGGAAGGAGCTGGAAAGGATTGCCCAGGACAGGGTTGGATGGAGAATGCTGGTGAGCCGCCTATGCTCCTTCACAAGGAGTAACAGGCGTAAGTAAAGTAAGTAAGTAAAAGTATAGTTATAAAAATACATTTATTCCATTTCCTAAAGCAATCAAAAGTTTACGATTCTATTTTTTATATGCATTGGGAATCAGTTTTAACAAGCTGTCATCTATCAATTGATTGGTCGATTAGTCTTGTAAAAAGAAGAAAAAAACAATAGAGAAGATCAAAATATGAATGACGGTGAATGTTTCAATACTAACACAATACTGTTCAAGATTAAAATGGTGTATTTAAGATCAACTAGTTGATAAAAATAACTAAACTCTAGTTTGTAAGTAGTTTTGTGGTGTGAGTTACTTATATCCGTATAAGTAGTACATAACGGAGGTCAGGCATATAACGTATTTCAGTAGAAGATCGATGAGGAAACAGCGGAAACGGAACGCAATTAGTATGAAAAGGTATGAACGGTAAAATCTGAGACAATGGACTGACATTCTCACAAGGAACAGTGAAGTTTGAGACAATGGATTGATATTTTGCAAATTAACTATTTACCATATGGTTCTCAGATTTTATTGAGATGCTCTATAATTTTGTGCTCAAATACGGTCGATTGTCCGCACTCGTATTGTCGTATGCTACATTTGACGTCGCTGCGAACCAGGAATGTGGAGACTGCTGTTCTGTGAACGCCGTTGAGGGGCTAGGGCTGAGGTGCCGGTTGGGACAGTCTGGTGTGGGGAGGTGACGCCGGGCGACATTTTCTGGTTAGGCGGCGTCCGCTGTAGCGGGTGCTGTCGACGGAGAGAGGCGGTGGGACGTGAGGATGCTGGGCGGATATCGGATGCGGATGGCTCGTGAGGTCGCTGGAGCATGGGCGTTGAACGCCCCAGGTGCCGGAGGATGTCGGATGCTGATGCCCCGGCAGGTCGACGGAGCTATGGACGTCATCGCGCCACAGACTCGACGTTTCGACAGAGAGCGTGACACAGACTGCAGAGAAGAAGATATTGGCAGGGCAAACAGAACCACCGCAAGAACGCATGCTTTAAAGGGGGACGAGTGTGGTATGGGTTACTTATATCCATATAGATAGTGCACAACGGTGGTCAGGCATAAAATGTATTTCGGTAGAAGATCGATAAAGAAACAACGGAAACAGGACGTAATTTGTATGAAAAGGCATGAACGGTCAAATCTGAGACAATGTATTGATATTTACAAAGGAACAGTGAAGTTTGAGACGATGGATTGATAATTCACAAATTAATGATTTACTATATGGTTCTCAGATTTTATTGAGATACTCTGTAATTTTGTGCTCAAATACATTCGATTGTCCACACTCGTGTTCTTATTCACTACAGGTTTTGTACCTTTGTTCGGTTTAATGAAGCTCAGTTAAAACTATATTTTAAATCTATTACTTATGTTAAAAAAAAGTCTCGAAAAATGTCACAGATAAACTCAAATGAAACAGACAAATATTCATGTAAAGGTTTATATTTCACATAACTAGCAACATATTAGATGAATGAGTTACTAAAAGAAATAGATTAATCTGACTATTACTAATGTTGTTCTGTATAATAGAGATCGTTCGAACATTGATTTAGTTAAAGCGGAAAACTTCAACAAAGGAACTTGTATTTTTGTAATACAGCTCATACATACAGTTAATTGTATTCACTTTTCAACTAAGTAAAGTGTAACAAATATGACGGAAAATGAATGGTGGCTAATAGTGCAATCTAGGATACACTCCACTTTATCCTATTTGGGACTTGTCAATTGGATATACCTACATCCTATAGTTAATATTCACTCGGGGACTCGAACCCAATGTCATTTGTTTTAAATGCCACCACATCATCCAGTAAGTTACTGAGTTCAAGTAGCCACTAGCTTGTGCAATAACTTGGTTAAATGTGTAAATTACTAATGCTAACTTATTGTATCATTGTGTTATTTTATCATTGAGAACACTACATATATTTGAATTTACCAGTCACTTACATGAAATAAAACAGTTCTAGTCGACAATATTCAAGACTCATTGTTTCGTATGTTGCGTTTTGTAATACAAGCGATTGTGATTAAATACAATCTTACAAGCAAGTGTTTGACAGGCTATGAATATGTTGGCTACATTGTTATTCTATTTAGCTGATTTCAAAGATGATGAAAGGTAACACAACATTGGTTACTCGTTGATGTTTATCAAGTGCAAATCTTTCATTGCTCAAAGACTATGATTTCAATGTGAGTAGTTTTATGGCAAGGTGAATTGTTGTCAGATAATGTGATACATGTATTTAATTCTTTCAGGGAGCATCAGCATAGCAACAAAACAAGGTTCAAGATTACTAATCAATTATCGTTAACTATTCAGTCTTTTGTGAGAATAATCTGTTCTTTATGTATGATTATGGTTTATAATTAATTGAGTGATCAATATAACACGCAGAATTTAAGTTGTATATAAATGTATTGAATTGACACAAATAGGTGCTATTTTACTTAGTATTCATATTTTGGTCACCAGATACGTTCTGACTAATGTAGTGTTAAACCCCCTCCCGAACTGATTGTGCTTGTGACGTTATCAACTATTGAATTTGAGATTCACAGTTACTGGTTTCCATGGACTGTAATCACGCCAGTCTTTTTCTTTTCTTTAGATTTTCGATATTTGTCAATCAATTTCTGTGAGTAGCAATCGTTTCTTAGACATTTTTCAATGTTTATCAATTCTTCTTCCAGTTTGTCTGGAGTACATATTCTTTCTGTTGTGTAAAATTAGTGCTTTGACCAACTCTTTCTCGTAATTGATTGGGTAAAACTATTGGAATTCCGGTAAAGACGGATATTGAACTATTGAACTATTTTATTATATTTTATCATTTTTACTAGGAAAAAGACCTATTCTATTGATCAGCTGTCTGAGCTTCTAACTTCATTGCAACTGGGAAGATTAGATCTAACATCAACAATTCAATCTGGTCTACAAACATCACTCGGCTATATCTTATCATCATATTATATTTAGGAGACCAAGAAAATTCTTCGAAAAATGCCCGAAAGTGATCTGAAAACGCTGTGAAATATTTTTATCTAATCAGCATTGAATAGAAGTATCTAAGTTACTTCCATTGAGAACCTGGAAGCACTGGACGGCCGTTTCGTCCCATTTTGGAACTCCTCAGCATTGCGCATCAATGATCTCGCTCGCGGGATTCGAACCCAGAGCATTCGATCTGGCGCGCGAACACTTAAGCTCTAAACCACTGAGTCCCACAAAAGGACGAAAGTGCCGTCCAATGCTCCAAGTTATTGAATGGTCGTCTAACATCAATCGGTTCATGATCTCAATCAAAATCTTAATGATCTCCACAATCCCTATACTGATAACTATCTCAAATACATCTAGAAAGTCAAGAATCATGTGTCTCATTTTCGACCGAATGATTATTTGTCCTACTACTATGTTTAAAACTTACTTACTTACGCCTGTTTCTTCTCGTGAAGGAGCATAGGCCATGCACCACCACTCGCCATCCAACCCTGTCCTGAGCAATCCTTTCCAGCTCTTTCCAGTTGTTATTCATACATTTCATATCTGATTCTACATACCAACGTAATATGTTCTTTGACCTTCATGTTTTCCGCTTCCCTTCAGGATTCCGAGTTAATACCTGCCCTTTGATGCACTTTGATGATTTCCGTAATGTATGTCTCATCCACTTCTAATGTATTTTCTGAATTTCCTTCTCAGCTGGAAGCTTGTTTGTTCTCTCCCACAGTAGGCTGTTACTGATTGTATACGGCCAATAGATGTTGAGTATCTTGCTTAGACAACTATTTATTAATACTAATACCCTTTTGATGATGCTTGTATTAGTTCTACATGTTTCAGCTCTGTACAGTAGAACTGCCTTGACGTTCGTATTGAAGATTCTCACTTTGATATTGGTTGAAAGTTGTTTTGAGTTCCATATGTTCTTCAATTGTAACAATACATTATGTTTGAAAGGGTTCAAGAAACATCTAGAAACCCAAAATCATTTAAAATACAATAAATACCCTCAATATTCTGTACATAACTTTCATTTAGAGTAAAGCATTCTTCCCATATTTCACATCTTTTCTCTCATATTCATGTTGGCATGTAGAGTTAGCTTGAGTGTTATTAGTAGAGCTTAAGGAATCGTTTCAATTTTTATATGTTTTTCAATCAAAAAAACAAAAAAACACTATCTAGTTACTAACCATTTAAACTTACCATATTAGTTCTTAACTGATAATTATTGTGATTTGAAAATGAATCTATATTATTATTAATAATATTATTATTATTATTATTATTAGTAGTAGTAGTAGTAGTCGTAGTAACCGGCATTTCATCTTGTTTCCTTCCTGTTTTACTTTCTTCTCTTGGTTTTCTTATAATTTTTTCATTTATTTTTTTATTTTTTTGTTCTTTATATTCTTGTTGATCATCATTAAATGGATTTATAAAATGAAATGGCTCCAATAAAATAAATGGTTGTTGATCATTTATATAATAATTACGATCAATATAATTGTTACTATCCTGATATCTTTTTGAATAAATCAATAATTGATTTTTAATTAAACACTGAACTGTACCATTTTCATTTAAATCTGGATCATTTATCATTAAAATATTAATAATTGTATTTATAGGTTGATTACCAATCATTTTAGTATGAATAGAATAATTATTTAATTGATTAATAATAGAACTCATATTGATTGATTGATTATTATCATCGATAAATTGCCAAATTTTATTGATTAATTGATTATTGATTTTAATCATATTATTATTATGATTATGATTATTGAATTGATCAATTAGATACCATGGTGATTGTTTGAATTTAGATTGTTGAAATGTTTTTGTCTCATCAATTAAATGTATCATTGGATAATTATCATTAATATCTAATATTTTTATTATAATAAATAAATTAGAACTACGTTGTGGTATACCTTGATCATATGCTGTAATCATTAATTGATGTAAACCATTTGATAAAGGTGATTTTTCACGATCTAATGATTCTTTTATTATTAATTCACCAGTTGTAGAATTAAGTCTAAAAAACTAAGAGAAACAAAAACAAAGAAAAGAAAAGAGGGGGGTGGATGTATGAAATTGAATTGTTCATAATCTTATGACTATTGAATTATTAAGTCTATGAAATTGGAGAACATTTTAAAGCATGCCTTATTGTAATGAGTTAGTTTAACTAATATTCTATGACATTCTTAACTATATTCTCAAGTCACAAACTCATCGAACGCAACAGCTTTTGTGTGACGCATATACATTTGGTGCCCTCTTGTACCAATATTTATATGTTCAAATAAATAAACAAAAAATCTCATAAAGACAAATTCATCAAATATCTTCTAGTACACATGGTAACTGTTCTATTCTTCCAATGATTTAATACAGAATACAAAGTGAACAATATGAATGTGATAATGATGGAATCTTAAAAGATTACATCATGAAATGTTAGCGGGATATAGATTGAATTGTATTGGTGTACGCTGATTGGCTAATTCTTATCCAAATCACGTTAGTCGATACTTGGAAAACACTTTCGAAACTTCTTATGTCAAAACTATATATAGGCTAATGTTTTTTTCTCCAATTGTGTTTCATACTTCCATATCACCTTGTTATTTGAAATGTAGTCTGTTTTCCTGTTCAACCGTGTTCTGATTTGGGGACTTATTGAGTGCATTGGTATCCGAGAATACTAAGCAATAGGGATACATGGGTTGTGATAAGAGAGAATTATAACATGAAATTATTATGTATTTTATATAGTGAGGTTCAACAAAACTATTTGACCTTATTTAAGACAAATACTTTTGTACATGATTATAGATGTCGATAGTCTTTCCCAGGATAAATCAACTATTTACTGTGTTCGGTCGTCGCAATTGTTGTGCCGGAAAAAATCGCTGATCACTTATACTCGGAACGATGGACCTCGGCAATTCCCACGATGAGAAAGTAAGAACACACAAGACTGGTATAAGTTAAGATTTATTAGCCCCAAACACCATGACAACGACGAGTCAAAATAGTCTGATATATTGATTGTACACCCATTATGATTAATAATTAGAATTAAATCTGACATGATGGAAAGAAAAGTCAATTTTTCGATTGATTTACTCATTATGAGTTTTATTCAACATTCAACATCCGTTTTGATTCAACATGACAATCATTCACTGTAGTATTTGATTTGTTTTCCCAGTATGATATTTTCTTCTGTATAATATACGAGATATTCTTGTATTCACTTGACATGAACTATGCTCACAGTCTGTGATTTGTTATAACTGGGTATGTGATCTAATCTTAATTATTAATCAGAATGGGTGTATAATCAATATATAAACCAGTGTATTTTGAACGATATTCGATTCGTCGTCGTCAGAGTGTTTTTGGGCTAATAAATCTTAACTTAAAGCAGTCTTTGTGTTCCTACTTTCGCATTGTGGGAATTGCTGAGGTCCATCGTCCCGAGTATAAGTGATCAGCGCTTTTTCCGGCACAGCAGTCTGCGACGACTTAATACAACAAAATCACATACTCAGTTATAACAACTCACATACTGAGCATAGTTCATGTCAAGTGAATACAAGAATATCTCGTATATGATACAGAAGAAAATATCATACTGAGAAAACAAATCAAATACTACACTGAATGATCCTCATGTTGAATTAGAAGGGAATTAATGTTGAATAAAACTCATAATCAGTAATTCAATGGAAAATTGAATTTTCTTTCCGTCATATCAAGCAATAATTAATCTACTGGGTATAACTCGGGTCCTAACACTATTATCATTGGTTAAGTAACTGATATCAATTAATGAACGGTTTGTATCATTCATATTATAAGTTAAATTTAATTGTACAATCATTAATATATATCGTGAAGTAATATACAACTATTTCATTCTTATATGACACTTTTAAGTCACGCTCATTCACAAATCATCTAGACTTTACAACGAGCTCTTAACTTTTAAACATTTAATACCAATGGTATATAGGATAGATAGTGCCTAGAAGTGGAATCCAGGACGCGCGTTTCGTCCTATTTGGGACTTGTCAGCTGGATGTTCCTGCATCTCAGAGAGTTGATGTTCACTCTGGGACACGAACTCAGTACCATCCGCTTCAAACGCTATCGCGTTATCCACTCAGCTACTGAGTTCTGACTGATCAATTGCAGTCTTAAAGCTCAATGGGAAGTTACAAGCCAAACAATACCAAGGTATATAGGATACTTTCTAATCCTCATAGATAAAAAATGATGGTAAAAACCTTCGAAGTACTTGATGAGTGAGTACTTAACTATTCCCAGTTATAAAGATTATTGATTTCATAGTTCGTATCACAGATTGTCTTTATTTAATAAACCAGTGAAAGTACTGTAAAACTAAATCGTTCTCATATGGTTTTTTTATTATTCGTTAACATGCAAACTAAGAAAAAGTTAATCAATTTAAGCTGTTTTGCTTTTTTAAAATCGTTCCTACTATTTGGTAGACTAATGATCATTGATTTTCTGATTATCTTCCTTCCGTGTAAATAAAGCTTCAACTGACTCATGAGTTCAATCTGTGAAAATTTCTAAAAATCTCCACAAAACACATTCTGATAATAACAATCACCTGCTCACTAGTGACTGACTTCAGGAGACACTTCTGGAGTTCTAGTGAGAAGTCGTTACCAGTGGAGTTCAACCAGGTCTGTTGTGAGATAGGAACTCACTGAAGACAATGGTGTACGGTAGCGCAACTTCGTGGATTGGTTGAAGTTAGACATTAACACCGTTGGATGCCGGCTCAGTGGTCTAATGGTTAAGTGCTCGCGCGCGAAGCCAGTAGGTCCTGGGTTCGAGCCCCGGGTGGTGCGGGGTCGTGGATGCGCACTGCTGAGGAGTCCCGTACTGGGACGAAACGGCCGTCCAGTGCTTCCAGGTTTTCAATGGTGGTCTAGCTTCAACTGACTCATGAGTTCAATCTGTGAAAACCACGGTTGCCTTAGATGTTTTTTCAGTTCCATCATTTCAAAACAACAAACAATAAGTAAGATCAAGTCTACATTACGGACTGACCTTAGTTAGACAAACATCTTAAACTAGAAAGTACTGGATTGATTTTTGTCTTAGTACAAAACTTATGAGAATTATGCAATCATTATCCAACCATGAATTGAACCCTGAACCTCCGAAACATGTTAGTTCAGTAAACAATCACTACCATTGGAATATATTGGAATGATTGAAGTTAGAAATGTATTCTAGTGGATTCCGGTTAAATGATCTGAAATATATGCACTCATTGAATGATCTAAATATTTTGAGTTTTGTTCCAACTGACACCATATAAATGCACTATTGAAGAGTTTCAATACTAAAACAAAACAACTGTTCAATCTCTTTTGATTTCCAATGGTTGTCTAAATGATGTTAATGTAAACAAATAAAATGTTTATTTAAAAGTTTAACTCATAAGTCAATTGAAGCACTGGATGGCCATTTCATCCTATTGTGGCACTCCTTCGTAATGCTCATCCACGAGCTCACTCGCGGGCGAACGCTTAATCTCTAGTTTAGTTTGTCCTTTGGTTCCTAATTCATAACAGTGAAATTACTTTCGAAATGTACACAAGCTGTCATTAAATAACAATTCAAGCGTAATAGATTTTCAGACAAGCTTTTTGAAAACCGTCTAATTCAGTTGTTCCGCAAATACACTCGTACAATTTTGTCTAACATGTTATCCACTAAACTATCAAGTTTAGATTAACACTAACTTGAGATGGCGGAGAAGATTTGTAGCTCAAGTGAATGATTTTGATAGAGTTTTGTTCTCTGAGCTGGAGTTTGTGCTGATGATATCGTTCAGAAGAACGATAAATATTTCACGACCAAACCATCCAGCTCAAAAAAAAAAACACAAGCAAAATGTCATCAAAATTAGCACCGACTTATCCAACAAGCATTTGAAGATGACATCTATCGATTTAAAGTCTCAGAATGAACATCGTGGGGACAAGTACATTCAACTGTTAAGTTTAATATACAACACATTCACTATCTTGATTAACATCAGTAATTGAAATTGTTGTTTGTTTTATCAATCTTATCTAGTTTGTTCTTTTTTTTAAAAAAACAAACATCATTTTGGTCTCCAACTATGAAATTTCATTCATGGCGCCACTTCAATAAATAAATCATAGTATAAACATTCGTTGACAACCGAGAGAAATTAATCACGTCAACAAGTCAAACTGATAACAATTTAATAATAAAAAGGTGACAATGTTTTATAAATGTAAGTGATTTATTAGTGACCGGTTGATCATACTCCAGTTAGATCGTTTGTCGCTTATTATTATAATATTACATATCATCAATCCTCGTATCTAATCATTGACTTAAATCACGTTAGTGAATAACGTCATGAAATAAGTCAAATAACAAGAATGGATTTCGAACACATCTATTTGATGAAAACAGACGATTAGAGAAATGAAATGAAGAGAAGAGAGCAAAAACGTAGCGGACTGAAGAAGGTAACTGAGCCTACTCGATTTAACCAAACGTGAATTCTTCCTTATGGTCAGACAAAAATAAGTTAGACATATACTGAGTAAGATAAGATATATATACACATATATGTACACATATAAGTCAAATTTTATAAACGAATCTATGACAAGGCACAAATGTGACTCAAGAAAGTTGACTAAATTAACCTGACTAGAAGCTAGGAAAATCTATGTGAGCTTGACATAGCAACCGACACTGCAGGTTCTTACAGACAGGGGAGGAAAATGAAGAAAAGTGAAGATAATTTGACGATGTAATTACTTAGTGTTAAGTGGTGAACATGTTGTCAAGTCATTAAACTCATCAATCTTTATGATTCAATAAATTGTGTGACTTTGATCAAAGGAATGGAATTCAACAAATCACTATTATTTAATCAGTAGGTTCATGAATACCATTTCATTCAGAATAAATGATTTGATCAGTAGCCAACCATTGTTAATATTCAC